TGAGTGTGCAAACTAACATTAGTTTTGGGTTGAGAACAATTGTACTCAAAACTAAAAATATTCCAGTAAGAAATATGAACCCATTTTGAGCCTGTTGCTTCATTAGCTGTCAAAATTAACTAGTCTGTATTATAACAAAACTTAAAGCCATGTAATTTCTGTATCAGGTAGCCTTTTTTTCATTTTCTTTTATCACTATTGCAATGGTGTGTAGCATTCCCATGCAGGGATCAGGATTCCATTGCACTATGTAACCTGTGGGTGCTTATAACAAAAAATAGTGCTTATTCTAATTTTGAATTTGAGTTTGGATTTGTGTAATCCAAATATTTTTCTTTACCATCTCATTGTCAAATATCTTCAAAGTATTAATTTTATTTTCCCCTGAAGAACTGGGTATAATTCTTAGTCTTTGTTTTCAAATAATATTTTCCTCTAGTCTCTTCTTTCTACTAATCTACATTTTTTAGCTCTGAATTAGCTGTAAAAGACCACAGTTTTATATATCCTGTTAAACAACATGGTGTCAACTGTCAGTTCTGTGCATGAGAGAGGGATTTTCTTAGTTCCTGAGTTCGGTGGGCTTTCTGTTGAAACCTTTGGGATATCTGTTTGTATAACAGTCATGCTGGTTTTCCATTAGGCAGAGGAGGAGAACTCAGTGGTGACAGGATGATTTGACAGAAACTTAGCAGATGGATTTTATAGGGTTTTGTTGTCACATGGAGCTAGGTTCTGTGCTCTTCACCACAGACACAAATAGGAAGGAGGTTAGGTGATAAATATTGCTGTTAATACACTTGTTTTTTTTTCTAAAGTGGTAAGCAGGAGGGCCAGCTGAAGCATTGCAGAAGAATCTCATGGTATTTGAGTGAACAGGACCAAAGAAAGAGTTATTCAATGTTAACAAGTGCAGACTAATACACATGGGAGTGAACACAAAGAAAATGTCCAGAGTCTTGTACATTAACATCTGATTCACAACTTCTCTGAAATTTTGAAATCACTGAAGGTAATTCAGTGATTAATTCAGTGATCACAAAAGCAAGCAAAATGCTAGGAATAAAAAAGAAATAGAGAAGAAATTAAGGAAAAAAATGTGCTGATTCAGAAATCCATTTTCTTCCACTCCTGGGCATTTTCAAGCCACCCCTCGCCCCAGCACATGAAGAAAGGTAGAGCAAAACTAGCAGAGTTGAACAAGGGCAACAGGGAATGAAAGATCATTAGGAGAATATGAAATGTTGCTGAAGGTTTATGTAGGTGTTCAAAGACCGACAATTTCAAACAGTCCAGAGGCAAATCCATGGAGAAAAAAGAAACCCGTAAAATGCTCTTAAACTGAGGTACTCATATAGCCAGTGACTTAAACTTTCCACCCTCAGATTTATGGAAGACTATGCTATTTGTGTGATTACTGTTTGATTGCCCTATTTTTATACACTTCCCTAGGTTATTGCTTCTTGTTATTGTTAGCCAGGGCACTTGAGGGGTGTTTCATCTGACCATGTGAAGTCTTTCTTGTGTCGGTAGATTTTAAGAGAAAGCTCAATACTTTCCCTTCATTTTTGAGTGTCTGTGCATGTAGGAGTCCTGGTGGAGTCCAAGAACTCAGTCTGAGTGGTTTTGTTTCCCTGTTAGCCCTTAGCTGTGCTTTAGTTAACAGCTTTTCTTCAGTACCTGTGGCCACTTTGCTCCAAATACAGAATCAAAATTAGCTGTTTCTTCAGAGATTTCAATAATATGCTTAGCTTTATTTGTACTATTTTGATGTTTGTGTTATGTGTTATTCCATTAAGTGCCATGCCAAAGGCTGTGCATCTTTGTTCAGCTCTGTGCATTTATGCTCTTGTTCAGTGTTTTTTGCATCAGATGAGTACAAAGATATTTTCATTGATTCTTTTTTCCCTCACCTCCTCCTTTAAGTGCCTTTGAAATAAATTGCATAACCTTCTGCAGTTGCCACACTGGGCCAGTATTCTATATTTAAGTTATCTCTTATAATATTATCTACTGTCTTTGGTCAGCAAAAAAAATCTTCAGCCTAGTTTATTCCTTTCAGTAACTTGCTACTACAATTAAAGATTAACAGCTCTGTTCTTCCAGCCCAAACAATTGCTGTTCCTGAGTACTCATGCTAAATAACTGTATCAGCTCCCTGTCTATGTTGAGTAGCAGTTCCTGCCATACATACCTATCTTTGGAAAGTTGGTTTGTTGAGGCAGATAGATGCTTGTTTATTTGGACTTTTAAATGTTTAAATAGGTCATTGCAAGAGACCTAAACCAAAAATGAACAAAAAGTAGTGTAGCTGGGCAGAGCTGAACTGGCTGACAAGAGTATCTTCATAGTTCTCTTGGCATCAGTGAGAGTCAGCAATTGCAAAGGAAATTAAGTTGCTCTACTTTTCTCACTAAACGTGTTGTAGTGATTCTTCAGGCTACAAACTAATATTGACTGTAAGAATGCATAAACCTAGACTTTTACAGGTAACATCAGTTTTGCTTAGGAAAACTGACCCTTTCATGAGGATTGCTTTAGCGCTTAGTGTCACATCTGCTATTGTTAAAGTAGGAAAAAATGGGACCATTTATACAATGCCAGTTTAATAAAGAAGTGTCTGGGGGATGGGAATGGGCTGAAGTGCAGGTAAAATTATGAGAGGAGAAACGTTAGATTGTCAACAGCAGTTGTATTGCTCCAGGTAATACCATCATCTGTGTGCTTCCATCTCTCCATGCTGCTTAGTTTTATGGGATAAACTAAATTCAGTGTAACCCAACCATCAGTCTTCAGCCAAGTCACTGCCTTTCCAGCAAGTTTTATTTTTTAGATATCCTAAGTACAAGCCTCAACAGTTGTACAGGGCAGATATGTTGTTCCAGGAGCAGCATGGAACCAATGAAGATGTATTTCCTATGGTTTTGTACCCTCTCCCACCTGTGGTTCACTATAGGCTCCAGCTTACCCTCAGTCCCTGGGAGCACCCTTGTCAGACAGCCATGGGCACACACTGGGGCTGCTCTGAAGCACTACATGGCTGGCCAGGCACTGCTGAACCATGTGTGTGGTGGATAGCAGAGTCTCATTCACCTCGCTGTGCCTCTTCCTTTACCTGAACAGAAATTTGTCACAGAACTTTAGGAGCTTCCCAGGTCCATCTCTGAAGCTCCATCCCTTTGTTTCAAAGTCTTTATGGAGAGTGGGGTACAGCACTGCCCCATTAGCTTATTTTACTAGGAAAAAATGATAAATGGCTATGAATTTTTAAATTATTTTTCAAATTTGCTATGTGGACGTGGTACCAGATTATCAGATTTGGTGTGTTTGCCAGAAGATAATGCATATATGTGAATTTTATAGGGTGAAAGATGTCATACATTGATTCTTCTGCCTGATAAATAGTTAATTAAACTTCCTTTAACTGTACACGTTTTTAAATTCCCGCATGACAAAAATAGTAGACTTAGGAGAAGGTCTTTTACTTAATTCTTCGGGTATTTTCAGAAACTGAAACTCAGAAGGTTCCCTTTGAACATCAGGAAATGGGTTTTTCACTGTGAGGGTGACTGAGCACTGGCACAGGTTGCCCAGGGAGGTTGTGGAGTCTCCATCCTTGGAGATACTCAAAAGCCAACATGGACCTGGGCAACCAGCTCTAGGTGGCCCTGCTTGAGCAGGGGGTTGGACCAGATGACCTTCAGAGTTTCCTGCCAGCCTCAACCATTCTGTAATTCCATGAAATTTCGTTTTTCTACAGAGGTGTTCATGTTGCTGCAGGATCCAGGGACATAGTTTATTCTCCTGCTGCACAATTTAAATTCATATCACCAGAGCCAAGAAGGCCCATGATGTTTTCTTTTCAGTTCTCATCCTCAGAGTGAGGAACTATTGTGGAGCTTTTTCTGTTTGCTTTTACTCTCCTTTTGCTATCCAAAATGGATGTAGCTAAAATCAAAGATACATACTGAAATTGGCATTTGCTTCCAAGATAAACCCTTATCAAAGACTGAGATATTATTTGTTTGGAAAATGAACACAGTGGTTTCTTTCTGGAGAACTGGAATTTAGTTAGGCTGATGGGGTCAGCTGTTGAAATCTGTTGTTCACACAGTGTTTCTTAATGAATTACACTAATTTATACCAGTGGAAGAGCTTATGAATTTACACTTCTGTTGCTTAAATGGGGGGACACACATATACCCTGAGTCAGTCTACTTGTTTGCAATACTACTGCAGTACTGTGCAATCCACCCACTTGTTGAACAAACAGCAGCAAACCTGGAGAACATAAGCTGGTGACTCACCTCTGTGTGAGCAACCTACGACTGACTGGTGCAGTGTAATACAAACATGGGCCACTGACCTTCCCACATGGGGCATGGCTGGCCCCTCCTCAGAATATCTACAGTTAGGAAGTGTTGCAGTGGGCATAAGCTTCCATGTGACAGTCATCTTTATCAAGAATAGTCTTCCTTTATCAAAGAACACTGAGATGTTGATGGGGAAAAAAAAAAAAGGCAAGACAGATGCATACAGACCTTCAAGAGTTAATCAGGAAATGATAGCATAATTAGGAGAAATCAGCATACAAAACAGTTTGTGCTATACAGTCTAAAGCCTTCCTGATAGTATGAGAAATGTGGTGAAGAGCATAGCTGGGTTCATATCCACAGGTAGACTAGGTAGTGAGAAGAAAAGTAGGTTTCTCATCATAAAACTTCCTTTACTAATAAGCAGAGCACTTGTGTCTGTTTGACTTGGTGTCATCTGAGAGTTTCAATTGGAGCAGATACTTGAGAACTGTCCTATGTTAACCTCCTACCATCCTTCTTAGAAGTAATGCTTTCGACTTGCTTCCAAGCACCTTGTTGCTGGAATGATCCATGCAACAAAAGTGGACCTAACAAAACAGGTTTTACATGTACTGCCCAAAAGTACTCCAAGAGATGTAATTTGTTCACTTAGTCAAAATTAATTACTCTTTTTACTTATTTTAGATACAGAGTGTATTTTGGAGCCTCTGTCTCTGCCGGAAAGTCCAGATGGTGGTGCTGCTGTAGAAAGTTGTCCCTATGTGCCATGTATTTTCTGTGAAGAATGCTATCTCTTAGCTGAACAAAACCAGCTCCTGAAGCACATGATTATTGAACACAAGCTTGTCATAGCAGATATGAAACTGGTTGCAGATTTTAGAAGGTAAGGGTTTATATTGTTTAAAATGAGTGTGTATGTGTGCAGATATAGAAAACTTCAGAAAACTAGAGATCATCTTTTTAAAATACTTTTAAAAGAAGTGGGGTGTTGCAGGGTGATTTTTATTACTATTTGATGAGCTTTTTGTTGCTGAGTCATAAGGTTGTTTTCCTGTCCCCCTCCAACTCCCCATCCCCTAGATGTTGCTGGGACCAGGGAACTTGATACTAGAATACAGGGCAATTCCTGTGTTAAGACATTCTTTGACATATCCTAGGGACTTTTCAGGTCGTGTCACTAATCAACAAGTTGTATACAAATTAGAAAGCTGTTTATTTCATAAGCACATTCTAGACAATCAACTCTCATAATTTTGGGTTTTATTCATATAGGACAAGATTATTTCTACCACTGTACAATGTCCTAAAGCTGTGTATTGTATGCAGAAGCTGCTCAGTACAGGATCTCTCACATTCTGGGATGAAATTCATTTTCCCTATTTTAAGGATGCCAGTATTTCTCCATAGAAATCACATTTAATCCTTAACTATACTTTACAGTACTGTGATCTACATACAACTGTGACCCCTACAGCTGTGTCATTGATCATCTCAGCAGGGTCATGTTTGACTTTGTTAACTTCCTCCAATAGTTGGCATGGCCCCAGCTGGCTTGTAACTTCAGAGACTAGACACTTTCTTGGCATTTTGCTTTCACACACAGTAATGTATGGGCCAGGCGGTAGGCTAGATGGTACCTGCCAGTTTGTAGATAGATCTGTTGCAGTGTTTAAATGTTAGCTGGATGATTTCTCAACTCGAAGGAGTTTTCTCGTAGGTTTTCTGTGATTAATTACTCAGCCAAAGCCAATAACTTGTGTCTATGAAGATGCAAAAAAATGAAATATTAAGATGAAATTTTGGATTAAAAATGTCAGCCATATAAAGCCTTATTTGGATGTATGAGCTTGATGTTGCTTAAAATTGAAAACTGATACTTATTTTTGTTTGGTTTTATGCTGAAAGCAGGCAGAACAAGAAGACAATGTTCTTTGGAGATAATGCTAGTTTCTTCAGATAAATAAAGTGATCAGAGCTGCTCGGTTATGGACTACCAGTTTAAGTGTGCTTGGGGGATTATTCTCCATTAAAAGAAATGTGTTTTAAAATCACCTTTTTGTGAAAATGACCATGTAGATTCTTTTTGCTGCTAATGCAATCAGAAGGTAGCCAGATCTCATAGAAAGTAGCCCCAGGATGTGAAATGCTAGGAGTTGTTACTCTGAAGTATGCCTTCTTTTATTTGCTATAGTGAATGCTAGTAAAATAGTCTAATACTGTGCACAAAAAAAGGAAGTATAATCTGAGGTGTTAAAGTGTGGGAAATGCAGGGAAACAATGATGAAAACATCGGGGGTTTTTATACTTAGCAACAAGTTACAATCAGTCTTAAGAAGACATTTCTTGACAGAGCTGCAAGAAGTGGAGAATCCAGAGAAGAGCAATGCTAGTGGAAAACTTTTTTTTAACTTGGAAGAATAAAGATAAGTTGGCGTGAGAGCAAGGGAAGAAGATAAAGGGAATAAGCTTCCACTGCATGATGACACAATCATTCATGGACACTGATCACTCATTCTCTGTCCCTGGATGTATGACAAGGCATTGGCTTTATGTGATGATCAGTTATTTGAGTTAAGTCTTACAATATGAAATCCCTTAACAGTAAGCTTCATGACACAGGTGATTATGGTTAGGTGAGTTTGTCCATACAGTGTTCATTTATTTCAGTGCAGGGGGCAGACTAAATGACATCTTGAAATCCCTTCATTTGCACATTGATGTCCTAAAAGCTCAAGGATGACTTATTCTGTAAGACTTCCTGTTTTATGTAGCAGCAAGACTGTTTCCTTGTGCATTATAAACAGTGGAGTGGGGGAACAACAAAGTGCTCACCTCTCACTGACACCTAATGATGCTTCTGAATGAGCTTCAGCCATACATGCTGGCTTAGCTGTCTGCTGTACCAGAGGTTAATCCTCTTTGTGTCAGTTAGCAGAAACAAGTATGTGCGAATTCCTTGGCAGATGCAGCTGAAGTCCTCAATATATAAGTTATGTGGTAGATAGAGGTAATATGAACCACCACAGGATGTGATAGTTGTGGCAAGTAAACTTTTAGATTGCACAAGTATTAAAAGCTGCAACTATTTAGAAATGTTCTCAAAATAATGATAACTGATTTTTTATGATTCTTTTCTGAATTTGATGACATGTCAATAGGGAGCTGTCATTGAATAGTTAGCCTTTACCTTACCAACTCTCCCATAATTTATATCATGCATATGAGTCACAAGTATTAATGTAAGTATGCACTTAAGCATTTTCAGATTTTTTTTTACAGTAAGATTATGAATAATTAGCACAAGGATTGCATGGTTCCCTTCATCATATAATTGAAGGTGATGATTTCTTCTTCATTAGACAGTAACTTCTAGTTCAGTGGGTAACTAATCTCAGTTGGGGTCTGTTGATGCTGCCGTAATACAAACAATGATAGTACAAGAATGTTTTTTAACAACTGTAGCTGATGGGTTAAACCTTCAAGATGTGTTTAGAGCTTTGCTTATTCTGTCTGCTATCCCACCCCCAGGGTGTTTGGGGACTTCATTTTTCTGTCTTTCTAGTTGTCTGCCAAGCTACAGTTTTCACTGTAACTCCACAGGAGACCTGCCAAAACCCCACTTTTGACAAGTTGGTGTTTTTACTGAGTTTCAGATTCCTGCCTGCATCTTGCAGAACACAGAGCACAATATTTGGGGAATTTGAGAGTACTCTGTAGTATATCTTTTCAGTAAAGATGCATCTGAGTGGCACTTCTGTCTGAAGATGTGAATAGGTCACAGTGTTTATGTAAAACAATGCAGATCTGTTCTTCACTTTGACAGGATAGTTAAACCCAGTTTTAATGAAGATGAATTAATTTAACGAATTTGAAAACAAGATTGAAGGAAGAAAAAATAGAGACAGGAATTAAATAAAAGCACAAAACACTTGAGAATTTAGAGGATGGAAAAAAACAAGAGCAAATCAATTGTTTATTAAACTTTTTTTGATGTTTCCTTTTTCAGTAATCATGTTCCCCTTATTTTCAAAGATACATCTTGTACTGGAAGAAAAGGTTTGCAGAACAGCCCATCACAGACTTTTGTAGTGTGATAAAAACAAATTCAGAAGCACCATTAGGTAAGTATGCTCCTTGCTTACTCTCTGTTGGCCAGATCATGTGATAATTTTTGGCATATACTGCTGCTTTGTTCAGCCAAATGTGAAGTAATCTTGACACTAGGTCAGAAAGCCACAGAAGTAATGTTTAACTCTTAACCACATATTTAAACTTAGCTTTTCCAAGGATTGCAACATGTGCATCAGCACTGTACTGAGCGAGGATGAGCTCGATACATGCTTAAATGCACTGCCAAACTGGGGCCAGTTAAAATCAAGGCCTAGAAGCAGTGCTGCTTACATTGTACCTGGGGAAGCTTTGGGATCCACTGCATAAATAATTGGTGACAGTCCTTCCAGAAACGTGGAGAAACATTCCTGGGGAGCTGTCTTTTCCAGCTTCACCCTGTTCACTACCCCCACTGATGCTGCTAAGTCTTCCTGGACATCAGGGCCATGATCACCCTTCCATTCTCCTGCCACAACGCTTACTGCCCCAAGAGTGTTAGAAGACAGTATCTTCACAGTAGGAGTACAAAGACTGCCATTTTCTGGGCTCCAACATAAGACCAAAGACCATACTTCATGGTTCTGATGCTCTGGCACAGTAGGACATTCCATCATAAGGACAGTGATGACTGCAAAGGAAATGTTCTTCTCAGAAGTAGCTGGTGCATTTCTTTGGCTTCCCTTTTTCTAATAGAAAAATGTAGTTTACCTAAACACAGGTAAAAGAACATTAGGTCTTTCCTGCATCTTTAGTTCTCCATAGAGAGCTGAAAAGAGAGGAAGAAATGCATGCAGCTAGTGTCAGAGGTGGGTGGAATGTGAAAACTGAGTACAAAAGGGATGAAAAGAAATTGTTTTAATTATTCAAACTAATTTTAAGAAAAATAATCCTAGAAAACATGAAAATCACTCTAAAGACCATAACTGTGTTTCTCTTACATATATATAAGGGTTTGCTTCTGAAATTTTAACAACACTCAGTTTGAAAATTAGAAATCAAGTGCCTGAATTCCAGAGCTTGACAGAATCCTAAACCATCAATAGCCCTTCCAGAGGACAGAGAATACTTTGTAATTTGTTTGTTAACAAATTTGTTAATTTTAATGGCTAGCTCCTTGAAATGCTGGGGTTTCAACCCCAAGCCCCATGTTAAGGTTGACATATGGGTGATTCCCACAGCCCTTCACAAAGAGGGGGTGAGTTTGCCTTTAGGCTTCCCTCCAGGGAGCGGCCGGCCCTGCAGGGAGAGCCATTGGGTAAATGAGCCCCAGGTGTCCCACATTCAGTAAACAAAGGTCAGGTGTCCCACTTGGGGATAAAAGCTGGGACCCCTTGCAGGAAGGGGCAGTGTCTGTCTGTGCGGTGGAGGCACTTTGCAGAGTTCCCTGTTGGGGAAGGACCTTCTGCCTCCCTGGAACTGGGCTCCAGTCAGGTCTGGCTTTTGTAAATGTGGGCTGTGTAGAGATTCAGTATGTGGCTTCCTTAGTGTTACATATTTTGCTTGTTGACTGGGTTGTTTCCCATCCCTTCTCTGGGAGACTGCATTTCACCATTTATTCCACCCATTGTTGGTTGTGTGGTGGTGTTGTTGGGGTCAGTGGGGTTGATGTTGATTATATATAATCTGACTGACTTGTTTGTACCCCCAGTGCTCACCCATGTACTGACCCTTTTGCATCAAATACAATTTGGTTATTGGTTCATCTTTATGCTGGCTGTGTCCTTTATGCTAGGCCTGATAATTGGCAAAACACTCCTTCAAATTTGATAGCTCAGAAATCAGGGGGTTTGTCTGACTTCTCAGGCTTCTGTGTGAAAAGATTGGAAAAGCTGAAATCTAGCAAGTTTAAAATTGTGAAAGACTTAATAATGGTTACTTCAGTTCACCAATCACATAATTTCTTGATTGGTAAATGAGTAACTTTCAAATGCAAAATATATTTTTTGTAAATGGCTTATATATTCTTACATGCTGAGTACTTTTAAGGTAATTCATTTGAATAAGATTTGGCTTGTTATTAAATTGTATATGAACATAAATAGTAAAAAGATTAATAAACATAAAATGTGGGTAAAACATAAGTAGAAATGTAAATTAAGCAAGTCTCAGTGTATGTTACTAAACAGTTGTGGTGCATATCTGCAGATGGAACAAGATCTGATGGTAAAAGGTAATGTCATCAGGCAGGGTAAGGGGAGAGTATACCAAATGATGTTAACTATTGAAAACTGACATTACTTAGGGAAATAACTGAAATCTCACAGGCAAGATAAAGGTGATTTCATACTTCTTTCATGCTGACTATGTTGTAACCAATATAAAATATTAAAATTGCCTTATGTCTTCAGAAGAACTGTCATAAAAAAATAATAAAGCTGGTAGTGGGGAAAATCTGTATAAGACTTGTCTTTGTACAGCAGTATAAATGATGGAAAGGTCTTATAAATAGATATACAAATATTTAAGCAGGTTTTGTTAAATTATTAAATTTAAGTAACTGATTTCTGTAGATTAAAAAACATTCTCACGTTCTTAACACATTCCAAAGGTTTAGCAAATTATATGCCAGAAATATTCAAAGCAGCTACAACTTCCCATTCCTTACCCACACTTGTAATCTCTTAACAGAAGAGCAGGAAAATTATTTTCTTCTATGTGATGTTTTACCAGAAGACAGATTACTTAGAGAACAGCTTCAGCAAAAGAGACTGGTAAGAAACTACTGTTGTTTCATTTTCTGAGGTAAACAATTCAATAGTGTAATATATGGTAACTTAGTGGGCATTTTAAAGTGTAAGCACTTTTTGCTAGACTGCAAAATTCTGATTTTTTTTATACTTTTTTTAAGCTCACTTCCCTAGCTGCTGTAGAAACATACACGAACTTGTTTATAGGTTTTTTCCATGGAATAAATTTACAGGTTGCATGTCAGTGTTCATGACTAGAAAATCTGCTCAGAGCACTGGAAAAGCTGAGTGTGTTGAACATTTTTCCTTTTGCAGAAATCTGCAATGCATTGACAGTATCTTTTGTGCTAATTTTGCTACATGTATATTATTACAAAATAAGACTCTATGATACTGTGAAAAGGAAAGGTGATACTTATATACAAAATCTTTAAGTTGGTTTTGTGCATTCACAGTCTCTTACCCAGATTTCATTAATTCACACTCACAAACTCACAAGTGTCATAGTGCATGAGTGAAGGAAGTCTGACCAGTATTGTTTTTGTGAGATGCAAAGGACAAGAAATAGCAGCTGTTGAGTCCTCATGAACTGCTCTGGTTCTTCCTGCTTGGGATTGGCAACCTAGGACTTTGGACAGAGCTCTCACATCTTCTAGGAGTTGTCAGTTCTGAATGAGTGATCCTTCACATTAAGCTCTTGCTGACTTCAGCTTCCATGAGTCTTAGTCCAGGCTGCTGACCACTGGGGGATTTTTTTGTTGTTTTCTTCTTTGAAATAGACATCTGTAGTCTGTTTTTGATTTGGGGCTAATTTAAAAATGAATGTTATGGGATACACAGCAGCCTTGTTGCTCCTCATGTTAGAATGCAGGGTTTTCTGCTGGCAAGTCATCTGTACTGTGAGGTGTTAGAGTGCAGGCCTTATGGTCTTTACATAAATATGTTCCTCAGTTTACTACTGGCAGCTATGTCCTGGGAATTGTCATCATAGACCTTTTAACCCTTTGTTACGCTGTTTCTTCTGGTATGTTTCTATTACAAGTCTGTACATAGCGTGCAACTAAAGACACCTTAAAACATAAGCATTCAGAATGAAGAATGTGCTTACAAAAACCAAATTCTAGTTCCCAGGGAAATTTGGATTGGCAGGCAAAATCCGTTTGGCTCAACTACCCTGTGAGTGCTGTTTCAATTTGCTGGTTAATGTTCTGCAGCTTGCAGCGCATGACAAGCAAATCCGCAGAACCCATGGAGTATATACAAGTCTTGCACAGCTCTCTGTAGGATCCCAGCTCCTGCAAAGGAGAGTTGTGGTGGTTCTGCCACTGAGGATTTCCCATGAAGTTGGAGTTGCCTCAGCTGAAATCTTCATTCCTGTGTATGCCCACTGGATTGTCATGGACTCAGGAAAAAAAGCAGCTGATGCACTCATGCTTCTCTTCCAGTTCAGTGTAAGAGAAGCCATCCTGGATCAGTAAAAAAGGCTTGTCTAGATCAGTATCTTATCCTTGACAGCAGCAAAGTGTCTGTGGTATTTTCCCTCTTCTGATCTGGTGGTGATTCTTTATCAATGTATTTCCCTGGTCTCCAACAATTGGCAGCTCAAGAATTTCTAAATTTAGCAACATTGTATCTATGTTTATTAACACAATAGATTTTTTTTTCATGAACCTCCATCTCTGAACCTGCACAAACTTCCAGTATTCACAGCTTTTTGCAGCAATGAGTTGCACAACTTAACTACACTGGGAGAGAACCATCTGTTTGGTCCTTTTGAACCTGTCACCTCACACCTGGCTGGTTTTTGTATTAGAAGTAGTGGACAATTCATCCTTAATCTTATCCAAACTACTCATGATTTCTCTCCAGACTTACCTACCTTACATTAGGTCTTTCATTAGTCATGTGCTGAAGTGCACCTTCATGGCAAAGGCAGCCAACAGCATCCTGGGCTGTACTAGGAAGAGTGTTGCCAGCAGGTCAAAGGAAGTAATCCCTCCCCACCACTCAGCACTGGCAAGAACACATCTGGAGTGCTGGGTCCAGTACAAGAAAGATATGGACTTACTAGAGCAAGTCCTGTGCAGGGTCATGAAGATGGCAACATCCTTTTTACCATCCTCCATGAGTAGACTGAGCCATGGTCTCCACTCATGCCAAAACCACCACCAGGAAGAATGTGGCGACCCAGACAGAGCTGCCACGCAAACATGCAGAGGTTCAGGTCCCAGGCTGCAGAGAGTGCCTGAGCCTGTCAGTCCTGTCGGAGGGCAGCAGTGACAGCACCTGTGTGCACTGCGATCAGCTGGATGACCTGCTCGGCCTGGTGGCGGAACTCAGAGAAGAGGTTAAGAGATTAAGAAGTTTTAGGGAGTGTGAAAACGAAATTGATTGGTGGAGTAACACCCTAGCACCCCTGAAGCAACAGGAGCAAATGGAGGCTCCAAATGAGGCAGGTAATCCCTTATCCTCTTGCTATCAGGCAGAAGGAGGGGACCTAAGAGATGAGGGAGGCTGGAAACAGGAACCTGCTCAGAGAGGCAGGAAAATCCTTTCCTGGCCTCCCTCACCCTCCATGGTGTCCCTTCACAATAGATTCAGGGCCCTGGAACTTTTGAACAAAGCAGTGGAGGAGGAAGAAAATGAGACAAATGAAGAAGGCCAAGGTCCACCAAGGCCAGGTCATTTCAGACCAGGTATTAAAACCAGCTCTGAAAAGAACCCCGGAAGAGTCATTGTAGTGGGTGACTCCACTCTAAGGGGTGTCGAAGGCCCCATATGCAGACCAGACCCGCTTCACAGGGAAGTCTGCTGCCTCCCTGGGGCCCGCATCAAGGACCTCACAGCAACACTCCCTACCCTAGTGAGACCCAAGGATTACTACCCTCTCCTGGTTTTTCAGGTAGGTAGTGATGACATCACCATGAGAAAGCCTAAAGCAGTGAAGAGAGACTTCAGGTCCTTGGGAAGACTGCTTAAGGGGTTGTGGGCACAAATTGTGTTCTCCATCTCTTCAGTTTGGGGGGATGGATGAGGATGATTATAGGAGAATTCAGCAGATGAATGGGTGGCTCCAAGACTGGTGTTACCATCAGGGCTTTGGATTCTTCAATCATGGGTTGGTATACAGGACACCTGACCTTTTGACATTAGATGGAATGCACCTGTCCTGGAGAGGGAAGGGGATCTTGGGGCAGGAGTTAGCTGGGCTCATTGACAGAGCTTTAAACTAGATTTGAAAGGGTAGGGGGCAAAACATCGGCCCATCTGAAGTGCATCTATACCAATGCACACAGCATGGGTAACAAAAAGTAGGAGCTTGTAGCCGTGATGAAATAGGAAATTACAATGTTGTTGCTATTACAGAAACATAGTGGGATGTCTCCCATGACTGGAGTGTGCTAACTGAGGGTTATAAGCTCTTTACGAGAGACAGGGAAGGAGAGGTGGTGGGGTGGCTCTGTATGTTAAGGACTGTTATGATTGCTTTGAGTACAAGTGTCTTTGTGTTAGAATCAGGGGGAAGGCCAACAGGGCAGATGTTGTAGTAGGAGTCATTTATAGGCCACCCAACCATGACAGACAGGCGGATGAAATATTCTATAGGCACTTAGGAGAAATCTCATGATCGCTTGTCCTTGTTCTTGTGGGAGACTTTAACTTCCCAGACATCTGCTGGAGATACAACACAGCAGAGCAAGACCAGTCCCAGAGATTCCTGGAATGTGTGGGAGACAACTTCCTGACGCAGCTGGTAAGAGAACCGACCAGAGAAGGTGCCCTACTAGATCCTCTCTTTGTGAACAGAGAAGGACTGGTGGATGAAGTGGTGGTTGGAGGCCGACTAGGGCACCGCAATCATGAAATTAATAGAGTTCTCTATTCTTAGAGAGGCCAGGAGAGGGCTAAGTAGGACTGACATCCTGGACTGGGCTGACTATGTCTTGTTTAGGCACCTGCTTGAAAGGATCCCCTGGGAGACGGTCCTGAAGGGTATAGGGGCCCAGGAAGGCTGGGCACTCTTTAAGAAGAAAGTGTTAATGGCTCAGAGTAGGTGGTCCCCAGGTGCTCTAAGAGAAGCTGATGCCAGAGAAGACCACCCTGGCTGAACAGGGAGCTTTGGCTGCAACTCAGGGAGAAAAGGAGAGTTCATGGCCTTTGGGAGAAGGGGCTAGCCAGTCACAGTGATTGCAAAGATGCTGTGAGGCTATGCAGGGTGGAAATCAGAAGGGCTAAAGCCCAGCTGGAAATTCATTTGGCCTCTGCAATGAAGAATAACAAGAAATGTTTCTGTAAGTATGTGTGATGGTTTGACTTTGGCTAAATGCCAGGTATCCACCAAGTCACTCTATCACTTCCCCCCCATCTTTTCCCCTTGTTTTCTCAACAGGGCAAAGAGGGGAAAGAAGTTAAGATAGACCAACCCTTGTGGGTAAAACAAAAGCAGTTTTAATATAAGCAAAATGAAGCAAAGGTCTGCACGCAGAAGCAAAAGAAAACAGATTTATTTTCTACTTCTCATGGAGAGCCAATGTCGGCCTTCTCAGGATGCAGGGCTCTGATACACATAGTGGTTGCCTTAGAGGACCAAGGGTGACCCCAGCCCCTTCCTCCTTTCTCCCAGCTTTATACTGAGCAGACGTCATATGGTCTGGAATATCCCTTTGGTCAGTTCGGGTCAGCTGTCCTGTCTGTGTCCCCTCCCAAGATCTTGCCCACCCCGTCCCACTGGAGGAAATGTCAGAAAGAGCCTTGATGGTGTGCTCAGCATTAGCCACAACACCAGGGTGCTATCAACACCCTGCCAGCTCCCAACATAAAACACAGCACATGAGGGCTGCTGTAGGGGAAAACCAATTCCAGCAGAGCCAGACGCAGTACCGTATGTCAGTAGCAAAAGAAAGTCCAGGGAGTGCCTCCATCCCCTGCTAGATGCAGGAGGAGATATGGTAACAAGTGATGAGGAAAAGGCTGAGGTGCTTAATGCCTTCTTTGCCTCAGTCTTTAATAGCAAGACTAGTTGT